GATAACAATGGAGAATGGGTACTAGAATTCTCTAAAGCAGTACTAGAAGCAGAGCTCTGGGGAACATTTGCAGGTCTGAATCATGCATGGAACACAGGGTAAAGAAGGATCATCCTAGAAACAGATTGTGGGGACCCATTTCGACTGATACAATGGAACGAGCAAGAAGATACATCGTCGACCATCAGGGCCGGCCCTGAGCCTAGGCGTGGAGGGCGACCGCCTAGGGTCCATATTTGGAGGGGGCATTCTTGAAAATAATAATAATTTTATAATTTTTAAGTTTTAATAATTAAAAAATATATTTACATAATTTAACGAATAATTATATAGTTAATCTAATAATAAAAATAGATCAACAAAGATAAATATAGAGTAAAGCTAAAAGTGATGAGGAGGTAATAGATTAGTCTACACCTAATAGAAATCTTATTATTATTACATAATAACCACTCCCGCTTTTCCTTTATCCTTTCGCCCTAAATATTTTCCTGATTTTGATCTTCGTTTTACTGCTTTGATTCTCAGGTAATTCAATCTATAAACGATCTAATTTCTTCTTTCACCCCCTTATTTTAACTTCAATTTCACTTGTTCTTTCCTCTAGTTATTTCTTTATCATGTTAGGGCTTTCATCTTAGTTTCCAAAATTTTCTATAATTTTCATTCATCTTTTAAGTCTTACTTTCCCTAGTTGCAAGTTGGAGAAGAGAAGCCGAAATCCTTTTTTGTTTTAAATTTTGCTCTTTCATTTATAATTTTGGTTCAAAGGTAATTTAGATAGTCATTATTGTTCATCTCTTCATCTTTATTTGAACTTTAAAGAGGGTTTTCGCTTTTGACATAAAATAAACGAAGTTTATTGCTTTAGTTGTTGAAAAAAATAGCAAAACTAAGGAAAAGAAATAAATAGTTATTGCTTGCCATTATTTGGCATATATTTCTAGTTTTAAATTATGATTTGTCTTGTGTGTAGTAAAGTTTTGTTATAACTTAAATGTTTTAAAAAGATGATTGATACAATTTGCTAAGGCTCTGTTTGCTTGATGCTTTTTGATTTTTTATTTTGGTGTTCATGTTATAACTATTAATATTTATGTCAACGGTGTCAATTATCAATTTGGGAATTTGGGATTTTATCTTACTCCAATTGGTTACAATTCTAATTAAAGAATCCAGGTGCAATTGTTCTTATCTTATACTTATTTATTAGAATTGGTTTGTGTTTGACTCTTTGATGAGATGTTGCCTAAAAAACATTTGTCTCGAAGTGAAAAAAGAAGAAAAAAAAGCGAGAGGAGGAGTTAAAGAAGTCACAAAAGGTGCTCTTGATAAATTTGTGTTTAAAAAGGCGGATTCTCATGAAACTTTGAATCAATCAACTGAAAATTTGCATATTGAAAATCCAAAAAATTTTGAAAATGTGAATGATGAAGTGAATGATCCAATTGGCTTTAATGATGTGCCAATTGATGAAAATGTTGAAAATTTAGGCATTGGTGAAGAAACACTTCCTCATTTGAATATATATGATCTTATAAATTAGGAGAATCTTGACAGTAATGCGAGGGATATATTAGTTGAAAAAGGGCCCATAAGAGAAATGGATCTTGAATTTCCTGTTGATAAATATTATAGACATTTCTCATATGCATGTTATTCTAGAAAGTTGAGCAATGGTGAGACTAGTGATAGAAAATGGTTAGTTTATTCCAAAAATGTTGACAAAGTATATTGTTTTTGTTGCAAGTTGTTCAAATCGATTAGAAATGTAAGTTTGTTAGCAAATGATGGCTTAAGTGATTGGAAACATATTAGCCAAAGGCTTAAACAACATGAAAATAGTGTTGAACATATGACTAATATGAATACTTGGAATGAATTGAGGGTAAGATTGGATAAAAATCAAACAATCGATAAAAATTTGCAAGAAAATATTATGAAAGAGAGAGTTTTAGAGACAAGTGTTACAAAGAATATTCTCAGTTGTGAAATGTCTTGCTAAACATAATCTTGATTTCGAGGATCCAATCAAAAACTATATCAATATAATAATGGTAATTTTCTTGGATTGATTGAAATGATTGCAGAGTTTGATGTGATTATACAAGATCATGTTAGACGCATTCAGGATCGTGAAATTCATTATCATTATCTTGGACATAAAATTCAAAACGAGTTCATTTCTCTTTTGTCTCAAAGTGTGAGAAACTCTATCATTAAGATCATTAAAGAGGCTAAATACTTTTCCATAATTCTTGATTGTACGCCTGATGTGAGTCATCAAGAACAAATGACCCTCATAGTTTGATTTGTTAATATATTAATTAACAAAGTTAAAATTGAGGAGTTCTTTTTGGAGTTTCTAAAAGTGGATGATACATCTGGATTAGGACTCTTTAATGAACTACAAAATGTTTTGAAGTCTCTTGATCTTAATGTTGATGATGTGAGGGGACAAGGTTATGATAACGGTTCTAATATAAAAGGAAAGCGCCAAGGTGTTCAAAAAAGATTTCTTGAAATTAATCCAAAAGCATTATACATGTCTTGTGCTTGTCATAGTCTAAATCTCACTCTTGGTGATATGGCACATTCTTATGTTAAAGCTATTTCTTTTTTTTTGGAGTTCTTCAACGCATATATACATTGTTTTCGGGTTCTACAAAGAGATGAAAAATTTTACTTGATAATGTTCATGGATTAACTGTGAAATATTTATCAAATACTCGATGGGAGAGTCGAATTAAAAGTGTCAAAGCTTTTAGATTTCAATGTCTCCAAATAAGATTGGCTTTGAGTGAATTATATGAATCTTGTGAAAATGATGCAAAGTCAAAAAGTGAAGCTGAAAGTTTGGTGAATGCAATCTCAAGTTTTGAGTTTTTGCTTGGTGTTGTGATTTGGTATGACATTTTATTTGATGTTAATATGGTAAGCAAGAAATTACAATCTACGTCTATGTGCATTGCTGCTACCATAAGGCAATTAGAAGGTGTGATGTCCTACTTTGAAAAATATAGAAATGAAGGCTTTACAACTAGTATGAATGTAGCTAAAAGTCTTGCACTTGAAATGGATGTGGAGCCTATCTTTCCCACAAAACGTTGTGTGATTAGGAAGAAATTTTTTGGAGATAATAATGAGGATAACGAAGTTGAATCGCCTGAAGAGTCATTTAGAGTCAATTATTTTTTGGTTGTGGTAGATATGGCAATTACTTCTTTGAAGAATAGATTTGAGCAATTGAAGACATTTGAAAGTACTTTTTGGATTTTTATATGATTCAAATAAGTTAAAGTCATTAGCTGATAATGAGTTGAAAGAATGTTGTGCTCATTTTCATTCTACCTTTTCTCATGGCAATTCATCGGATGTTGACTTAAATGATCTTTTCTCTGAATTGAAAGTCTTACAAATGACTTTGCCGACAAAATTGTAATCCGCCACTAAAATTCTTAAGTTTGTCAAATCTGCAGATTGTTATCCGAATGCTTCAATTGCTTATAGGATTTTATTAACTGTGCCTGTGACCGTAGCTTCAGCCGAAAGAAGTTTCTCAAAGCTTAAATTAATAAAAACGTACTTGAGGTCATCAATGTCACAAGAAAGGTTGAATGGTTTAGCAACATTAGCTATTGAGAAGGAGATGATAGGAAACATTGATGTTGATGTTATTATCAATGACTTTGCATCTCAAAATGCTAGAAGAAATCGTTTCTTATGAGAATTTGTGTATGTTGTTTTGTAGGTGAGAGGTGTCAATTTTCGATTGAGAGAAACGAATTAAGAGATGATTGAAGACATAATAGGAGTAAATTGAGTGAAAAATTGTGATGTCTCTTTATATTTTTGGTAAAATAATGTTGGTTAATGTAATAGAATCTACTCGTATAATTTTTAATGAAAAAATTTGTTTGACGTTTACCGAAATTTATTCTTGAATTTTAAGTTATTTTTTAAGGGCTCTTATCTCTTATTTTGCCTATGGCCCTTAAAATGTCAGGACCGCCCTATCGACCATACTTGATCACATACAGGAGCTAATGGAAAAGACATGGACAATCTCAATCATGCAAGTAAGACGCAAAGCAAACAGGTTAGCCGACTCCATGACCAAACTAGTCGACAAAAACTAATTTGATAGAACATGATCAATGCCTCCGACTGCTACTTGCATGGCTTTTCTTTTATGAAGATAGATTAGGTTTAGATAATCGAATCATTTTAGTTTAGTTTAAGCTCTTCTTGTTACCAAAAAATAAAGTAGATTGATGTAATTTAAAATTACAAAATTGTTTTTTTTGGAATTAAAATCAAATTATAATATGTAAATTTAAGAGGTAACTTTTTATTATTTCAATTTTATTAAATACCCCATCATCTGATGTTATTTTATAAAAAAAAGTATTAATTTGTTATTCTTTTTAAGAAAAATAATTATTTTATAATAAAAAATTCTTTATAATATGGAAATATTTGGTACATTTATATTTTGTTTTTAATTAAATTGGTGGATTAATGCATGAATTTAAATTTTAGAGCAGAAAGGAAAATCAAATATTACTATTTGATTAGATAAAGAGTAGAATGTAGCTGGAGAAAGTTGGGTTAATTGTAGGCCCTGCAATGGGCCAATTTGCCTCTCTAATCATGCTGCCCACTTGTACACCATGACCATACAATACAAATCTAGATGTACTTCAAAACAAAGCATGTCAGGTTCAACTACAAACATCAGGCATCTCCAAGTTGAGAGGGAAATAGTGGAAACCATATACCTCAACTACAATCACAACAAAACCACCCTACTCTTTCATCATAAGCTTCTTCCTCCTTTTTTTTAACATAATAGATCCATCAGCCTTTTCAGTTCATCCATGCAAATTCAAGTCTAAGAATAAAATCTACCTTTGCACCAATACACATGCTAAGCATTATCTGACAACGCTCTCTCAATCAAACACAATTGAATCTAACAACAAAGAACTGATACAAAATAAATAATAATAATAATAAACATTGATTTATTTGGTCACATTTTCAAACAATTAATATAATAACTCATGCTCTCAACATAAAGAAAAACTTGACAAAATTAATAACTCTATACCAAGCAACATTCCTACTAACAAGACATGTTTGACCAAAAGCCAATGCAACATAATCAAAGCCTACCAAAATTGTTTAAATACCGCACTGACAATAATAACAGTCACAACAAAAGAAAAACAAATCTCATCACATTAGAACCCAAAAATCACAAAACAAGTCCCTTCCTTCCCAGCTAAGCTTCACTCTTGTCAGTTTCTATCTTCAATTGTCCGCAGCATGGCCATTCTCCGCCTCAGATCTGGATTCAGATGGAAAAAAAAAAGGACATGCCAAGTCATTGTGACACACTTAATAAACAGAAACCCCTCCAAAACAAATGAACTCCAACTCAAACTCAACAAGAACTCAAAAGTGGGATGTAATGGGCAGGGGGTTATCCATTGAGAAGATAAAAACGCATATGCACAAGAATGGACCGAGAGGGATTACCCCTAAAAATTTTAAATTCTCATATAATTTATTTAAGTTTTGCTTGTATTTCTATTAATAATATGTTTTTGCCCACCTAAAATTTTATAAGTTCACTCCTGAACAAGTCTAGTGTCCGTCCCTGCTGCATATGCAGTTTTTTTTTTTTGGGAGGGGGGGGGAGGGGTTTCGACACTACTTATACAATGATCACAACATTAACCATGCTTTGAATTTACTTGTTCTCCTAGGTAGTTAAATTCAGTTTCCTTTCCCGTGATCCCTAAAAGTGACCCACATCTACTCAAAGAGGTTAGAATACTGCAAGAATTGAATTAGCCGAGGAAGGAAGCATCCGCTTCAAATAGAGTAGTATATCGATCGAAGTCACAGTAAGATGAAAGAAAGCTACGTGATGAGGCCGATCGCCCCTTAGAAGTGAAGTCCTATTTCAGACTCTTTGAACGGGGAAGTGAAAAGAAATTGTAGAAGTTCCAATTCCGATTAGAAAAGGTTGCTTTGCTTACTCTTCTATTGTTCTGTGGTCTACTCAATGGTTGCCCTAGTCTAGCTAGATTGATGGTCAGGTGATAATACAAAGAGAAATAAGAGAAGTGAAGGATCTACAGAGGAGATTGGGGCGAGAAGCACATTCTATTTGGTCAAGAAGTACGAATACAAAGGCAGCTTCAGGTCAAGAGAAACTTTCACTTTTAGAGTTATTGGTCTCGAGTTCAGTTCTATTAATAATATGTTTTTGCCCACCTAAAATTTTATAAGTTCACTCCTGAACAAGTCTAGTGTCCGTCCCTGCTGCATATGCAGTTTTTTTTTGGGAGGGGGGGGGAGGGGTTTCGACACTACTTATACAATGATCACAACATTAACCATGCTTTGAATTTACTTGTTCTCCTAGGTAGTTAAATTCAGTTTCCTTTCCCGTGATCCCTAGCTTGAAAGAAACAGTGTTATAGTACTGCTATATACATTGGAAAATAAATGTTCTCAGCAACTGTTGCAAGCAAAATGATATATCATGCTACTTCATCTCTGTTTTCTGAAGCTCAAAGTGAGGTTCAAATGATAGAAGACCATGAAAGAAACCAACTTTAGTTCATAAATTCTATAGACATACACAAACACAAGCAAATACAAGCAGTTAATGTAAGTATATATTCTCGATTTAAGAAGCAAACCTTTGGGGTTGATCAGCAGCCTCAACAGAGCCATTCTTCCTCCAGCTCCTTTCGACCGGAGCACGCCCATTCCCAAAGCTTGCTTTTCGTCCCCTCTCTTCCTCAACTGTCTCTTTAATCTTAATAGCTTCCAGCTTCTCATCAATCTCCTTCCAGTCTTTCCCCTTTTCCTTCAACACTTCCTCTCTTGGCCTCGCCTCGCCGAAAGGATTTTCCCCTTTGGGCTTTGGCGCAGTCACCTCCTTTTTATTCTCCTCCGTCACAGGAACAGTTCGCGGCTTAAGCACAAGCTTTGGTCTCACTCCACCACTACCAGCAGTACTGCCAGACTCTTCCTTTTTCTTTCCCCAATTATCCAAATCCCTAGGCAAATCCCTAGATTGAAGTGAATCAAAACTGCTTCTTCTATCAAATCCCCCGCCGAATCTCCGTGACGGTGCAGCATTGGGGCTTTTAGTACTCTTATTAGATGCCCAGTTGTCTACTTCATCGGCTTTCGATTGCGAATCAAAAAATCCTCCCCCTCCTCTTTCTTTCCTCTCAAATCCACCCCCAAATCCGTTCCCGGGAGGGGTTGATTTCTTAGCCGACGCCCAATTATCAATTTCATCAGCGCGTGAGGGTGCAATTTCTTTATTGGAATCTCTAATAGGAACCCTAGAAGACCCCCATCTACTATTACTAGACGAATCGTCGCTGCTGGAATTGTATCGATTAGAACCATAAGATTTAAAACCGCCGCCAAGACTGTTACGAACGAATTCTTCGGGGGCGCGTTGGCGAGGGCCGGTGGGGAGTACGAGGGCTTCCTCTTGAGTAAGGCGAGTTGGCTCAGTGGGCTTAGCAGAGCCGTACGCAGCGAATTCGGCGAGAGACACGGTTTGGGGCTTCTTCTTCTTGGATTTGGTAGAGGCGGCGGTGGATAAAGAAGGGAAATCGGCAAGCTTTCCAGTGGAAGAATCGAGATGGGCCTGTTGTTGGAGTTCAGCTTCATGTTCTTCGGCGTCTAGAGCCCACGCGCCGGGCTTTCCCCAAGGAGACGATACAGTTGCCGCCATGATTGTTGTTTGGTTTTGGTTTTGATTTGCGTTAGATGGCAGCGATAGCCAGAGGGCAACTGGTATGGGGTTTTATTATCTGATGAATGAAATTTTGTGAAGATTTTAGATCTGACGGTGTATCAATTTTACTATTTTATACTATATTCCTGCAATTTTTGCTATTTAATAATTAATATATTTTCTTTTATCTTTTGTTTCCGGCCCAATTTTATTTAGCTTTTATTTCTTATATTTTTATTAATATGAAACTTTACTGTTTTTTTTTCCTTTTTTATTTTAAAAGTAGTAAAAATATTGAAAAAAAATCCATTTTTAATCTTCATAACATAAATTAAAATTAAAGACCTTGGAATTGCTTAATTTATTTAGTCTAAGAAATAACTAACATTTGATGTACATTTAAGGTAGGGTAAATTACATATTTGGGCTCATTCAATTATTCTCACGATTCAATTTTGGTCATCTAATTATCTTCTTTTGAAAATCATAATTAAACTTGTAATTTTATTTTGTTTTGATCACACATTAAACTTAAAAAAATAGCATTAATGTTAATATGTGACTTAGATTAATCTTTCCTCATCACTGAAAACATTTTTAAAAAATGTTACAAAAATACTTCTGATTACTTTTTAAAATATATGTGACCAAAATGAAATAAAAATATAAATTTAATGATAATTTTGAAAAAAAAGATAATTAGATGACTAAAAAACTAAAAAAATAATGAGTCACTAAATATGTAATTTATCATTTAAAGTGTTGTCTAGTCTTTTTAAGAGGAGAAAACAAACTCTCAAAGTATAATTAAAATTCTGAAAGTAAAGGAGGATTGCACATTACGAACTCTTTAATCTTTAGTGCTTAAATTAAACATGTTTGATCTTATATCTAACTATAATTTGTCGCCACCCAATGACATTAAGCAGTCAACGAGACATCTATATATATAATTTCATTTTAAATAAACTTTTATTACATTGTAATAAATTCTTATCTTCAATTTCTATCTAAATAAACCTTTACTTCAATTAATATAATGATAATTTTCTTTATTTTTTATTTCATTTTGAGCATAAAAAATATCAATGGTGTGAGCATTCAATGTCAAATGGTTGTGAGTTGTCTTTGAACAAATATTGTCTTATATTTATTCCAAATTAATAAAAAAAATACTAATAATTTTATGTCATTTATGTATCACTCATCCCTTTTTTTATCTTTGTTTGATCAGCGATGACACTAATTTTAATATTGGTTATCAGTCATCAGTATTTTTATTATATTTTTTTTTCTTATATTGCATCTCTATTTTCTTTGATTTTTTTTCCTTTTCAATATATTTGCACGCATGATACGATTTTATCGGTCTTTATAACACGTTTTTATCTGCCTTTATGACACGTTTTCTTGGTCGTTTGGCTTTTTCTGATCTTTTTCTTAGGGTCGATTTGAGATTGTCATCACTGATCAAGATTATGATTATTTGTTATTTTTATTGATCTTTTCTGCTTTGGACTCTCAGATTGGATTTGGATATCTGATTTGCATTTGTGGATAGCTTTTCACATCGCTCGAGTCTGATTTACGGTTTTTCGGTGGTCTTTCAGTAACTTGATCTCCATTTGCGGTTCATTTGTCAATGCGATCAGATCTGTTTGTATCTATCTTTGTTCGAGTTTCTCGGTTAGAATTTTTATCTTTCTTTGTATGGTCCTTATGTAATCTTAAGTTGCTAGTTTTTTTTAATAATTATAGGAAATTATCCTAATTATGTGCTTAGTTTATGATTATGATTGTAAATTTTCATTATAATTTGAGATATCTCCTATTTCTAATAAAATTAGCGGTTTCTATAAAAAAAAAATATAATAATTTATAAAAATGAAAGGCTATTTAAACGTTATAATATAACATATTTTAAATAATAAATCATATTATTTACTTATTTAATTTTAACCAATATATACTACATTTTAAATAATAAATCATATTATTTAACTTATTTAATTTTGACTAATATGTCTAGCGATTTTTGATTCGACTCAATTGGATAAACTTTATATTTAAAAATATTCTTATTTAATCAAATCAGGTATTTTTAAAGTGAGTTTGGGTGAGATCAAATTCGTGTTAAGATGGAAAATATTTAATCCAAACCGATATAATATTAAATTATCCTTTATACATTTAGATATAATTATAATAATACTCTTTTCTATTTTATTTTTTCAATTAAGTTTTTATTTTATCTAATAAAAATATGTATATGTACATATATACTTAGGTCAGATCATGTATGTTAGACAAAAAAAAAATTATATCAAATTACGAGTCGAACGAATTCAAGTCTAGGTCATACAGGTGGGACAGTTTAATTTTCGGATCAAGTTCAAATTGACCGGTAACACAGCTCCACCTTTGCTGCCGACTTCTAAAGCGGATTCCGGGAAGCCAAAGGTATTTCAGTTCAACAACAGCTATGTTGGAATCAAACTTTGCAGACATTTTTTTGTATGCTCGAGAACGAAAGCACTAACTCCGTACATTGACTTTACAAGTGAAAAGGAATCAACAAAACCCGAATCATTACAACACCTCAACCTCAACAAAAAGAGCATATCAAGAAAAAAGAATAATCTCTTTGCTAATTTACAAATGTAAGGGAAAATGAGATCACCGTTGTCAAATGGGACTCCATACTGAACTCCTTCAAGTTGGCCACGACGGAAAGAATTCGAGATGCATTAAGCCATTAACTGAATGGAAATTAGGGTCTGCAAAAAGGTATCAAACGAAAACTACCTTTCTGGCTTTTGCTGACTCCTGCAAAGGAACTCCAGCTTTCCACATTTCTATCCAGGTCAATGGAGGGAGATCAAGACACTCGTCTTGGAAACAAAACTCATGGTTCGTAATACTCCGAACTGCGTAGTGTGATTAAATGTTCGTCCTCAGGATTCTTCATTGAATCACCACTAACATACCATGTAACAGTTCCTGCCATTTAAAGGCTATATAAGCTCAACCGAAAAGGCTAATATATAAACAATGTACTATTATTTGCTTGAATGATCGAAAAAGATTTTCAAATAGGTTGCAAGTTTAAGTAACTCCTAGTTTGCAGTCTCACTTTACACTCCTAGAAAATACCCAGGTACGGCGAGTAGTTAAAATATCATATAAAGTTTCATCATGTATGGTGATCAGGTACATACAAGGGAAACAGATACCATTTTGCTTAACCAAGGAAACAATACATAGGTAAACGGTAATCTTACCTCCATGGATATGTCTACTAAACTATCCAAAAGGCACATATTTCAAACAGAATCCCAAGGAGTAAAAAAATGGATTTCTTGTATACTATTTTTCATGGCACTATAAATCATATACCATATAAGATCAATAGATCGCTCTTTTAGCAACTTTAAGGCAAGTTGTAAACAAATTTGGAACAATGGTGAAACAAAAAATGATACAAACCAGAGGAAAATTACTTAATGTCTGTTTGATAGACTGTAAGGGTGCGTTTGGTTCACGGAATGTAAGATTACCAGTGGGAATAAAAGATTACCAGTGGGAATAAAAGATTACCAGGGAATAGGATTACTGGGAATATTGTATTTTGTGTTTGGTTGGTTTAACAGGAATGTAAGATTACCGTGTTTGGTTAAAGGAATAAAAGATTATTGGAATGTATATTTGACCAAATTGTCCTTATTATATATTGGTATAATATTACAAATTGTAAAATATTTATATATATTTTCTTTAAAAAATTAAATTCATAATATTTATATAATTTTTTTACAAAATTAAAAATATAAAAAAGGTTTAATGAAATGGTAAAAAAAAATTTAACCCCTGAACTTTATATAAAATTTTAATTATAAATTTTTTTTTTGTAAATCTAAAATAATTTAAGTATAAATTTGTAATTTAACCTTCGTAGAATTTTTATTATTCAATGACAGAAGAAGGATATTTTTGAAAAAAAAATAAAATTTTAAGAGCATTTTAGTCCAAAACGCTGATAATGTTACAATACCTAAGGGAAGGGAGGAAATGACATTCCCGGTAATATACCCCAAAAAATTTACTATTGGTAATAAAACATTACCGGGAATGAGATTCCCGGTCAACCAAACATGGGAATGTGAGATTCCCATCCCATGGGAATCCCACAATCCTTGAACCAAACACCCCCTAATTGGTTTTCTGAAAAATAATTTACCTAAAATGGATTACCTAAAATCTGTTTTAGGTAAAATGAATTACATGAAAACTATTTCACTAATTGTTTGATGCACTATAATTAATTTTATAGAAAACAATTTACATAAAATGAATAAAGTTCGGTTCGGTTAATATTTTCAAAAAAATCAATTTGATTAACGATTAAAGAAAAAATGTTCAGTTAATTCGGAAACTGAAAGGGGTCAGAAGAGGTTCAAGAATTCGAAAATGATGGTTCATGTGATGTCTGTTTGAAATCTATCTCAAATAAGAAGGAAAAAGAAGAGTGGAATATAAATTCTACACATACCTACTGGAGGAGGAGGTTCGTGTTCTCTCGTTGCATGAAGAATGATTGTTCCAGAGAGCACAGTGATGAATCCACAAATCTCAGAGGCAATACTGCTCACATTTTGACCTGACCAATCCTTTAAAAAGAACAAGATAGCAACACTCAGTTTGTGCTCATTAGTTCCTCTAGTTGTTGATAAATTGCAACTTCAATTAGGCGCCAGAACCAAATTTAAGAAGGATGAATTAAATAATTTACCTTGAACATGATTACACTAGCAATAATTGTCAGAGTTGTGAACATTACATAATATACTGGAGAAACAATTGCAGTATTGAATGTATCCAAGGCCTAAAACAAAGAGAGGCACATATGAGTCACACACAAAAGACAACCAGACATCTACTTGAAAGATGGAATGCAGAATTCGATCAACAGAGGATACGTTGGAAGAAGCTACAATTTGCATGTATATTTCTTCGTACAAATATTAAAAATTGTATGCAGTTCTGAGATCTAGAATTGCT